TTATTTTAAACTTGACGGTTAAAACTCATTACCTACTCATTACGAACTCATTGCCAACTCATTGCCAACTCATTGCCAACTCATTGCCAACTTATATTTCTCGAGCCTTCTAGAAAGAAAAACAATTTGATGATTATAATTAAATAATCTGATTGGCGTATTTGTTGTACAAATATTCGCAATTATCACCTGTGTAGATCTGATTAGTACAAATTTTAGGTGATCTTCAAAATTCAACTCTTAAACATCATCCAAATGAGTCTGATCAGCCCATATGTCGATTGATTTTGATTAATTGAGCACGTGATTCACGTAATCGATTTTTATTGGTTGATCACGGGGTCGCCATGGCGATGGGTCGCCATAAAATAACGCCCTTATTTTATTTATAAACTGTTTTCTTTTATAAAATTATATAAACATATTTTTTAATTACTTAAACACTTAGTTAAATAACTTGTTAACCAAGAGTCTAACAACATTATATTACAGTATATAAGCTATCAAAACAATTTTTTTTAAATTTTTTAAACAAGGTTTTTCAACAATTATCTAATAGAATTCAATAACAATATTTTTAATAAATTATATAAACTAATAAAATTTATTAAAAAAATCTTTATCAAATTTTATTAAATAGTTGTTGAGAAATTTTTATTTAAAGTTTGAAAAAATTCTTACTATCTTTTAAAATAATCACTATAATAGAAAATTCTCCAAACTTTACTAAAAATATTTTAATAACTACTTAACAAAATTTGATAAAAATTTTTTAATAAATTTTACTTAATTAAAGAATTCATTTAAAAAAATTTTATCAAATTTTATTAGACAATTGCTAAAAATTTTCTTTTAAAGTTCAGAAAATTTTCTGATATAGTTTATTTTCTTAAAACATTGAATTCAATAAAACATTTTTTAATGAATTCAACTAATTATAGAATTTAGTAAAAGAATCATTATTATATTCTATCAGATAGTTGTCAAGAAAATTGGTCTAAAAATTCATAAAAATTCTACTTTGATAGTTATGTACATCAACTATTATATGATGTCCGGTAAGTACAAAATCACATGAATGGCAAGTGTTCAGAAACTTTGTTTATGAATCTGTATTTGACTAACTAACACACATATATCTATACAATAACTATAATTTATTGGTTAGGAGATATATTGATTTTATTAAAGTTCTAATCTAGATAAATCTGACATCCATTTATCGTATCTGAATTATCCAGATTAAAATTAGATAAACAAATCAAATATCTGGATAATCTGACAGGTATTCAGATAATTATTCAGATAACAATATTCAGATAAATTTAGTTCAGCTACTTTGGATAATGAATAATGAATATTTGATAAACAGATAATGTGTCTGATTATTATGTCATTACCTTTCATGTGCTAATCTTACCTTTAATACAGTAGTTGCAAAATGTTTTATTTAATAATTTACTAAGATCATCTAAAGTATCTGATCTGAATTTATCCAGATATTCATTTATCATTGATATCTGAAATAAATCTTATCTGTTTATTCAATTTGAATGATCTGTATAATTCAAATATAGATAAATGAATACCAGATTTCTGAATTGGAACTCTACATAAACATGATTATAAAGGAGAGAAATGGCTGTCAGAAAAGTAGTTATTGTTAGAAAGATGATTGTTGAAGTGGGATTAATGAAGTGTCGAGAAGTGAATGTTGAGAAATGAAAGTGTTAGAGAAGAGAATATTGGGAGAATAAATATGTCAGGGAAATAAATATTAGAGAAATGAATATCGAGTAAATAGAAATGAAAGATTCACTTTAAATTTAATTACTATTTTTATTTCTAAAAACAACAATACCTCCAAAAATAAAAAGCATTGGATCTTTATTTTTTATAATTATATTATTTTTTAAATACAAAGTTGATTTTTGACAATGTCTATATTATCTACCAACTATAAATGCTATAAATAATAAAATATTTTAATTAAGTATATTATAGAGCTATTCATTATATTTATGACTATGAATTCATTCTTATAACAGCAAATTGTTTAATAAAACTTATTATGATGAGATATAATTTATCTAAAAAAATTTTTAATAAAGTTAAATTATTATTTTTTAAATTATTCAAATCTTCTATAAAGATAAGTTGTCTTTTATATTTTGAATTGGTTTATGCAATATATTATATTGTTCATCTTTCTATAAGAATATCCTAACTTTAAATATCAATACATGCTTTTGTTTGTTGAGCCATGGTGTTAACAAAAAATCCAAATAAACTATAGTGTTTTTTGAATAACTCTGTATGAAGCATTCTTAAAGAAAGAGGTTTTACTTTAAAACTTGCATTGAAGACAATTTCTTGCATATTATTTATTAATTTTTTTGAAGATTTACAGCCTTGTTAAATAGTAAATACTGAAACACCAGTAACTTTCTTATGGATTTGATATATTGTTTATTATTTAGGATCTGTCTATGTTTATTAACCATTGTAAAAGATGTTCTAAGCAGAATAGTCGCAAGAATCGCAAGAATCGCAGTAGAAAATGCCTAAATGCTCTAGATATTATATATAGCATTTAGGCATTTTCTACTGCAAAGCCTCTATTTTGTAAATAATTATGAACGATATAATCATTTTTTTCTCATTTTGAGTACGTGGTTTCATGTTTAAATAAATAAGACTAGATTTATCACAAAAAAACCCTAAGTTCTATACAAAAACCACGGATCTATTTAAGGTTTTAAATTGACGAAATGTGGCAGATCCGGGCTTGTATTTAATACATAAATTAATAAAGCAATTTATTATTTAGTGTTAATTTAATGAATAAGTGACAATGGTAATTGTTATAATCAGATACTGGGTTTAGCGTAAATTAATGGTACAATTAGTTGTACAAAAACCAGATAATAAAAGTATCCTTACAAACCAACAGGGTTTAATAACATATGGTCAGAAGGTTGTAACACCAAATCTCAACCTTATAAGTAGCAATACTAATTTATATATATAACAATAACAAATTTTATCGAAAGATGAAATCTTGTAATTTTAGTGAAATGAAAGTGAAACATAAAACATGATTATTTGAATATACTTCAGTCAGTGCACATGCATTCACTTTCATGACCAGGAGAGCAAAGCCATAAGCCCTCATGCCAAGTATGTATACCAAGCCACAAGTTTTGACGAGGAGAACAAAGCCACAAGTACTTATTAGGAAAAAAAAATCCATAAGTAATTGTTCATGAACGAAATTCTGAAATATGAATTGCTAGCTATAAAGAGTGAATTGACTCCAAATAAATCCAAAATTAGCTTCATGGCTTCCAACTGCATATAATCATGTGCTAACTACACAAACGCAGTATAGTAAATTCACGTGGAATTAAACCTTTTTGGTTGATTCTGCAAAAATTTTATATTACGTATACTCTACTTCAATGGCAGCAATAAGATATAGTTTAAAAGTTTCAAAAGTTACGTTTCAAAAGTTACATTTCTCTTGCCAACAATAAAATCCTGTGTGGAGATATAACCAAAGGTGGTATTACTATATACTAATATAGTTTAGCTTTCTTTGTGTATGAGAATGTTTCTCGGATCATAGAGAAATACTTTATCTTCAAAGTATTCAAATTTCGAAAACTGTTTATTAGTGAATTGATCAATGATTTTGCTGTTACATTTTATATTAATACACAGTCGACTCTGGATATATCGAACTGCATACCTGGGAGTTTTCGTTCGGTATAGAGTGGGCTTGTTATTAGTTTTCTATACTGAACAGTTCGGTATACAGAGTTAACCAATAAAATCATGTGTAGGATCTCAACATCAGTACACCTTCGGAAATTCTCTGAACTTAAAATTTTGACTTTCTCGTTCGGAATATTTCGGAACCAGTATCATGTACAAACAAATATATAGTTCGTTATATCGAAATATGTGTACGTAGGTTCTGGGCTGGTAAAGGATGCGGTATATAAAATTTACTATATAGGGTTCGGTATAACCAGCCTAAATTATTATAATAACCCGATTTCGGCATAAACAGGTTCGGTATATCCAGAGTCGACTGTATCTTTGTTTACCAATTTTATATTGATTGATTGATAATTCCTTTTAATAGGTTTATAAAACCTTCTGTCGAATGCCGCAACCTAACTTTTTGCTGGAAAACAATTAAACAATCCCTTGCTTTTTAACCTTTTACGTCATCTATATCAAGAGATAATTTGCTTGAATATTAATTCCAGTGAACTATAAAGATAATTTCGCATACATATAAGTTAAATGAGAATTTGTTGATAGATTAAAACACTATTCAGTCATTTACACGACAAATTAGTGTTAGTGTTAACGAGATTAGTATTAGTATCAGTTACTAATACTGTAATAAGAAAATGTATGCCACAATGACGTTAACCAATCAGAAGTGAACGAATGAATTTTCAGGTTAAACTAGTATATCCAGGTTTAAAGCTGCTTAAACCAGATGTTGAAGAGAATATTTTTGATTTTAAACCGACAATAACATAATTATGAGATATTATCCTTCAATGATTGTTTGGTTCGAGCATCGTCAAATAAGAATGTGTTTTTACCATTGTCATTAATACACATCTATTTTAACCATTATTTTAACTCAGAATTTTTAAAGCACGTGATAGGTTATTTTGTCAGACAATGAATTTTCTACTTTAGATTTCATACAAGATCGAAAAGTCGCAGAGCCACTACCTCAATGTCTTGCGCCTCGCGAGTTTCTATTTATGATTTACCCGTCTATATCATGATTCGAATGTGAAAGAAAAAATAAATTATCATTAAAGTGAAACGTTTTACATGGCTTTTTTTGAACTTTAAATATCAAGCCTCAAATCATGTTTCATTAAAATAGTTTGAATATTATTGTGAAACATCTTTTTTAAAAGAATGCCAATTTATAAATATCCTTCTTGACGTACGTATTTAAAATAATGATTACTACACGTAACATCACAACTTCGAATAACATTCGACCACCACCAAACGTTTACATATCAAATGATGTAACTGATGAGGGACTTAATGATCCATTACCAAGTCCATATCTTCGATCACCTATTGATGGCTCTATTCAATCACGTAATCTTCCCGAAAGTTCTTACATAAGACCTCATAAAAACTTGACATTTTCTTACGCGTCTTATTTCAATACATTACAACATGGCACCCTTGGAAAAATTGATAGTTTTCTTATAGGTACACTTCATTTGAATTATGAGAAACATCAGCAAGTGAAAAGTATTGAATTAAATTTCAAAGGATATGAAAGAACATCCTGGACTCAAAATCAAGGGAGAACAAAATTTGTTTATTCTGGTGAAAATATTATCGCAGAAAAAAATTATAAAATTTGGACACCATCGATTAAGGATGAGACGGAAATTCTTAATTTAGATGTTCCATTTAAAGTTAAACTTCCTTATGATCTTCCTGATACTATAAAAACACATCTCGGGGAAATTTATTACGTTCTTCGCGCAACTGTTAATCTTAAAGGAATTTTGCTGTCATCATCAACTCATACGGTGGAAATTCATTGTCCTTTGAAACGAACTATGGTGTTGGATAATGATAATAGTAAACTTTATAAATTTCACGGAGAATCAGATTGTCTTGCATATATGTTTATTCTACCTCCAGAAAAGAATGTAAATATTGGGGTTTATATATCTATTCCAATGAGAATTCGTTTCTTGCGACCTGGAATTAGTATTGAAAGAATCGAGCTCGCTATTAAAACAAATATGAAATTCCGATGTAATACTAATAATACATGTAGAGTTTCTAAGAGATCCGCAGAAGCAATCATACCACGTCAAGAATTTCAATACTTACAACCAGTTGCTAACAATATTAAAGGAGATTGTATTAAAACACTCAATTTTTGGATTCCTCGAGAAACTTTACCAACATACTATGGTCGTTATATTACAATTTCTCATGTATTTTGTATTAAGATTATTTTATCGGGTATTGAAAGAACAGTTCATATTGAAGAGAGTATAAATATTGCAAATATTCATAAGAGTTTTGATGTGGAATTACCACCACCACCAGCACCAACACGATTCTTGAATCCGAAGGCGTTTTCACTTTACCCTACAACATGTGGTGACGGAGTCAATTACCTCGTACAAAACTCTATTGATTCGGATTCGATTAGTTTTGAAGATCGAGACATTGAAGCGGCAGCAGCAATTGTCGCCCAACTTTATCAATCGCATATTAAAAAACGGGCACAATCTTTATCAGATGATATATCGTCGCCTTATCTTTATGACGGGTAATAAAAATATTATTTATTATTAATAAACGAATTGTATATATCTGTCAGACTTTCTAACTTAGATATATTCTTAATTTTATAGATCTATGACGTCAAAGTTTCCACCTATCAATCATCCACTTTCAATTCAACCGCCGATAAATACATTATTTACAGGATTGTTATCTCACTGCCATTAGATCTTTAAAATCGAAATTGATTTGCTTATCATTTATCATTTCATATTTTTATATTATAATTTTGGGTAGCTCAAGCATATATATATTTATATAGGCATATATATTTATATACATGTATAATTTATTGAATGAACGAGCATTTAAAACTTTTATTATCAGATAATTATCAATAAATTTTTTTATTAACATTAACAAAAGATATCTAATTGAATCTAGTACTGCAAAAATTCGTGACAATTTTGCCTGTATTACTGCGCTTTTCAAATTACTGTGTCCACTGATTTTCATACATCACACTGGGAATCAGAAATCTAGAAAAAAATGCCAATACGTGATTGGTTAAACATTATTTTTAACCAATCACAGATTTGCATTTATTCTAGATTTCTGATTTTCGGTGTGGTGTATGAGAATCAGTGGACACAGTAATTTGAAAAGTGCAGTAAAATAATAAAATAATTTGGATCGAAAATCTTTGAAATTATTAATTTTGGCCGGAAATTGAATTTTTTTTTAATTTTTTAATTACAACAAAGGGAAATATGCCTATTCTATGATAAAATTGGCTTAGGATCATTTTTCGCTTAATGGAAGACTACAGTTTCGTTAGTATATCAGATATAGAACTACGATTTGCCACTCAATATAGTTAGTAATCAAATTAAATTACCTAGTATTATAAACCACCTGATATACAAAACTAGATTGCAAATTATAATTTCAAGAAGGATAATTACGCGTATGATCTGTAAGGCTTAGATATAGTTGCTGGAATGTTCTAGCGATAATGATGCAAATGTGAAAGGAGAAGGTTCGCAAAAAAAAAAGAAAAGAAAACCTGAATATTGTAAGAGAAATAAAGATTAACAAGATTAGTGAGTGTATTACACGGTGGCTTTCGATATAACGGAAGCCATGGTTCCAGTCCTTTGCTCCGTTATATCAAAAGTTCCGTAATATCAAAATCTCATATGAGATTATAGTAAATCATAATTTTCCGTATTAAGCAATATCCGTTATATCAATGGTCCGTTATATCAAGAGCCACTGCGTATAGAATTTTGTTAAACCATATTCTCAAAGCCTTGTACACCCTTTTTGTTATAAAAGAGCCTACATTTTATTGTTATAAAGGATAGAATCTTCAGGTTGTCTATTAATAGATTAATAAAATTTTAATAAAATCTTAATAAACTCCCTTGCATAAAATCATAAGATTGTTATCGCAACTTTATCTAATTTTATTCTAATATCAAATTTTTTTAAAAAACAAAAACCTACTTAAAAAAAATATACCAAAAATAAATGAAGAACAAATTATTGGAATGTATTATTTAGGAGCTTCATTACAAGATATATTGGAAACAGAAAGATTGTCTTGTAATACAGTAGGATAGAAACCCCAGTGAGACCGTGAAAGATGGGGTGGTCGGTCAACTAATAAAATCAAACCTATATGTGGACCCTTGATAGATTTACATAGTACAGATTTTTGAACGATTGTAATTGGCTAATTTTATTGTAATATGAAAAAAAGAAAAATTAACATCCAACATCAAAAATCTGGTTAAATTTCATTAACGCATTTTGCACGCTAAAGTCTACCACTTCAATATCGTTTTTTTCTTTTCTAACATTTCGTCTAATACTAACGATTCCATCCTTAATATCCTTTTTTGAAAATTTTGTTTCAGAAAGACGTAGCTTGGATTCTTTGAGATCTGACGACATATTTTGGTGGGTCTTTAGATCTAGTTTATTGAACATGCCCTCAACCTGTTGCTGATGTACAATTATATAATAAATTTTTGTAGTAACGAACTCATAAAGTAGGGGATACTTCGGTAATTCAGGATTTAACGCGTCACAAAAATTATTAAATTGTTCACGGAAATTCGGATCTAAAAGATAAAGCGTTTTCAATCCAAAATCATTTGAATTGCCTTCTTTTAGATCATTTTCAAGTTGGCGCATATAAATTATCTCTTGTTTG